GTAATCGATTTGCTGCTGAACGTTTTATTTTGCTGCCGCTGAACAATTGCTCGGTACTTCACAGTTAAACTCAATATTATCCTCAATGCGCTTTTAATGGTTTTTATATGGACATCCTGATGTATTAAGCTATTTTCATTTGTGCAGGTATACATAACATTATGTGTGATCTTTGTGGTGTTATATTAAACTCAGTCTGCATTGCTTGGATGTGTTTCTGCCATTTGTCTGTTTATCCTATTTAATATGTCTGTTCTATATATTTTAGTTCGAATGTGATGTCATTTTTTTAACTTTGTAATTGTATGACAACTGAGATTTCCACAGATAATAAGCCTGAGGCTTTTGGAAAAATTGTCTTTTTTCAACTTCAATCTCCTATTGCATGACCCTCTGTGTTCCGACTGTGCAAGGGCAGCAAGGCAAAAGTTCATCTTTCTACCTGGGAAGTGATACTTTCACATTTGCACCAAGAACCTTGAACGAGCCCCATTGGACGACATGTTTGAAACATTCTTCCTCTTGCATCTGGCACATGGTGGTAGACAAGGCATCGCCAACACGCATTTCACAAAGATTTCTATAAAATTTCTTCATGAACACCATCGTTGCACTGTCAGTAATTGCCCACAAAGCTGTAACCACAGACCTTGCACCAGCCATCAGAAATGCTCTTGCCAATCCAAGGACTCCCTCGATGCTAATCTTTCCACGGGCAGTGTGGCAAGCGCTAAGGACGACCAAGTCGGCTGTAACATTTAATTTGGAGACATCTTCAACCGTAAGACAACTTGATTTCTTAGTTGCATCAGTTACCCTGAAAGAATTAGCAGAGCTATGTTATATATATATCTCGTAGCCCAGTTTCATGACTACATATCGTCCGAATAATAATCCAAAGTATTAGCAACTGACCAACACTAAACGTAGGCTTACGATGATTTTAATTTTTTTAACTTTTTTATTTTTTTTGTACAAAACGGCAAAACTATTTGAAGGATTACAACTTTTAAGAATACAACAAGAAATTTCGGACTATGTACTCTAGATATGTTATTTTGCATTTTGTGAACTTTGTTTTAATGTAAAAGTTAACCTGAATCGCTTCGTAAAGTGTTTCGAAATGTTCATTCAACTCTATTAAACTTGCTTTTGCCGATAAATTGTTTTTACTTTAAGGGACCAGTCGTTATTAATAATAACTTAATCATTTATAAAGCGCTTCTTACATATAATGATATAGCAGGGGGAGCGGGGGTGGAGGACGAGGGGGGGGGGGGCAGTGCCGTAGCTATAGACGCGGCCCTGTGCATATAAACAAGGAAAATTTGACCATTGTAGACTCTTGAGAAATCGTGTGAAACAAGAAATCCGTCTTGCAAATGAAAAGTATGGTAAGGAAAATATATCGCAAATTGTGATAAAAACAACTCGAAGTGATGGAAGAGAATTAATAAACTTACGGGGAGAAATAAATCATCTAGTAATATTTTCTTGACCAATCCTGAGTCTCAATCCATAATGAATGATAAAGACATCATCAGCAAACTGAAACCAGTGAATGGGATTTAGAAACTGTAAGGAGAAACCAAATTGACGATCTTTATCTGTTTTTATGTGTTGTATAAAGGTGTTGAAACATATATTGAAGAGAAGAGGACTCAGGCAATCACCTTGCAATACTCCACGGCGAACTGGTATGAAGGGTGTACGGAATTCAGATGTAATTATTGAAGTTTTAAAATCGGTATATAGACTTTTAATTATCAATTTAACATGTTCAGGGATATGGTGGTAATCAAGCACGGATGCGATCAGATTATGATCAACTTCACCAAAAGCATTCTTGAGGTCAAGTAGGGTGATGACTAGTGAGCGTTGTTTGATTCGGGCTTTATTGATAATATTGGCCATTTCTGCAGTGTGTTCTAATGTGCCAGACATGTTAGGTGTGAATCCTTTTTGAATATTATGTTCTATAAAGTTATTGACGGTTAGGAATGAATACATAGCGTTACGTAGGCAGGAAGTAAATACTTTTAATGGTATGGTGTCCAGTGTGATGGGTCGGAAATTGGACAGGGTATTAGTATCGCTTTTTTTATGGATTAGTATTGTGCAAGCTTTCTTCCATTCTGAAGGGATGGTTCCGGATAGCCACACAGCACGAATGAGGTCAGTTAAATATGTTCTTAGGAAAGGACAGCGTATAAAGCATATAATAGATAGCTGATCAAGGGGACATGGAGAGCCAGATGCTTTCGTTCAGCTGGGGTCAAGGTCAAATTGAACTTCTGGGTCAGACAACGCAGGAATCCAGCTAGGAATATGGAACAGTTTGTTTGGATGAATTGCAGCAAGGGTTTTAGTGAATTGGGATAGGCATTGCGTCATGTTGAAAGGTGGTAATACAGTATCTTTCTTCCTTAGAATATTCTTGACATAACCCCAGAAATTTTTCCCGATATATTTGTCATGGTTAAGTGACTGGCTGCTGTCTAGACTTAGTTGACTCATTGTTATTGTTTGAGCGAAGCTTATCGCGCAATATATGCGACACATATTTAATTTCGTCTAGTTCACCATTCGTTGATTTAAGGGTTTTCAGAGCTTTTTTCAAATCCTTGATTTCATAGTCCTTATATTTATTTAGTAGCGAATTGTCAGGCACTGATTCGCTATAACCAAAGTTTTGTGCGAAGTATTCGTATATGATGTTATTTAATAGTTTTATGTTGGAATTTAAATCTTGTGTTGTGATTGGATCATTGGACTGAAGAGCGAATTTGAAATGTTCGTTGGCCGTTGACCATTCGGAATTGCTTTTAGGGAGTTTAATACCTTTTCTTAAATTCGCAATATCTTCCTTTTCAACCGTAGGAGTTTCGTTGGTTGTCGATTGGTCCATTTCAGGAATATTTTCCGTGTCAGAATTGTTTTGTTCCTCTAGGTCTGTACGGAATTCACCGTCTAGAGCTTGTATAACTCTACAACTGCGTTGATGCATCTTTAATCCTCGCGCTCCTTTACATACTTTACCACAGCAGCACTTGATTACGGTTCGTCTTGACAAGACGACATTAGGAGAATTCATCACGGGCGTTTGCCTTGCCGTATTTTCGGCAGAGTGATCTTGTTCTGCGTAATTAGCTCGCTGTTTACATCGCCATGAATATCGACCGAGTGTAACGAAATCTTTCTCACAGAACGAACAAATCATGATTACAATTGATTTACAACATTGAACGAATCATGATTACAATGTTTACTGATGGTTACTTGTGAAATATTTGTGATTCAAGTAATAAAATTTTGATAAAACTGCAAACACGTACAGAGCACGTCAATGCTCTGCTCAATGCCTATAATAATAATAATAATAATGATAATAATAATAATAACAATAATAATAATAATAATAATAATAATAATAATAATAATAATAATGATAATGATAATGATAATAATAATGATAATGATAATGATAATGATAATGATAATGATAATGATAATGATAATGATAATAATAATAATGTAAACACATTTTATTTCATTTCATACAAATATTAGTAACCAGCTCTCACTAAAGTATTATAGGCAACCTGGCTACATTATGGTACAAAAGATTAAGAAAAGAATACAATGTTAAACTAAGCTTAAAATAT